ATCTACTGTATGGAAAAAAGATTATCACAAAATTATCATCGGTTTAATTAAAGATAGAAAACAAGAAAAAGTTTGCTATCATATCTTTTGCTCATTTTAAAGATCTGATATATGACCATTCTTTCTTCCCGGCATGAATAAATTCATCAGAATGACTTGATAAAATTTTTGATAATTCAGGAAAAAGCTAATTGCTTTGCAAAATGTATCATCCATTTCTGAATATTCCATCTTTATCGATTAAAATTCCAATTTGAAATTGGAAATATCTTAAATACATATGTATAAATATATTTGAAAAATGAATACCCTTTTGAAATACATACTTTTGAGACCTTTATCATTTATCACTTTTCTACTTCATTCTCTTCCTTCTTAAATAAGATCTTTATCAACAATAACTATATGCTCACATGTTATTGGCAGTCTTTAGTAATCAATTAAAAGATAATGAAATCTTGAAATTAAATTCAAGACTTTCTGTACGAATTAAATCTTGCAATTAAGATTAATATCTTAGTTGCAAAACAGAAAAGCCTTGATGTTATACTTAATTATTTGCATGCGCAGTCAATTAAGCAACTTAGTTGTTTATTAAATTATGCGTATAATTATTCACTTACTTGGCTCCAGTCGTCTCTTTTAATTCTTGTCTTCAATAACAAAACTTATTTTACATTTTTAAAAACATTTAATATATCTTTTCATTCATTCTGAATATCAAATAACATTGAACTAAGAAAATTCGTGATACTGTTAAACGGGAAATTTTTTTGGATGAAAAATTAACATACTAAAATAATTCATATCAATTAATTAAATTACAAATATATTTATTGCAGAATTTAAAGAAACTTGAGGCAGAAGAAAAAAGAAAAAAACTTTCTGGAAGAATTTAGGCAAACGAGAAGGGGGAAAAAAAAAAGAACAGACAATGAATGGAATAATCCAATTTATACTACATCTTTTTATCCTTAATTCAAAGAAAATTTTGCTTCGTTTTTTTCCTAAAGTTTTAAAAAATGACCAAAAATAGCTGTTCCGTTTTAATCTAAGTTATTAAAAAAATTACAAGAAAAATAGGAAAATTATCAACAATATTAAAGATAACAACTTATCGAATTTACTCATTCATATATCCTACTATAATTATGCTATCAAAATACTACTGCTATCTACAATGTACAGAATTTTTTTCGAGAAAAAAAAAGAACAAATAAATAAGGAAGTGAAAGATTTAAAATCATATAGATTAATTAATTGTTTTAATTTTTACTGGCAAAAAAAAAAAAAAAATTGTATAGCTGAAGTGAACAGTAATAATCTATTTGGATAAGAAAGTGAAAAAATTTGATTATCTAAATTAATCTCTTTAAAACTAATAGAAAAAAAAAAGGAAAAAAAAAAGAAGGAAAACTGCACTCAATTTCTTGTAACATCATCAATGCAATCAATAAGAGATCCATGAAAAAAGAAAAATTAGAGCAAAAAAATTATTCAAGAAGTTGCGTTTCACCTGCAGGACCAATTTGTCCACTGCTACTTAATAATTGTTGTAATTCATTAGCATCCAAATGTAAATCTTGTAAATCCTGAAAGCAATCAAGCTCTCCATCGGTACCCGTTAGAACGATATTTGGAATTTCCCGTGGTTCGGGACTATTTGAGTAATTACGTTGTGGCCATGATGCTGGTACTGGTAATTCAACACTTTGAGCTGGACTTGTTGGAGCTGATTGTGATTCAGATGATGATGGTGGTGTAGCTAAAGTTTGTGATAAACTTGTACTATACCGTTGTCCAATTGTTTGATGATGATATTGAATTGCAGTAATTGATGTTGTTGGTATATCAGGTAATGAACCAACCGCAATATCCTTACTATCATGCATTATCTTTTGTTGCATACTATCATTGAAAGAATCGATCGTTGGATGATGATGAACTGATGATAATGATTGCTCTAATGATGATAATTGATTGGATGATGATAATACTGTTAAATTTTGCATATTAAAATTTTCTAATTGTTCTTGTTGTTGATATAAATTCATGAATATTGTCGGATCGCTACGAGCTCTGCAAAAAATACATTCATATACATACATCATACAAATATGTAATATTAAATCATTTTTGAAATAAAAATATTTTTATGATAATAAAAGAAAAAATAACAAAAAAAAAAAGAAAACATTTTAGGTATATTAAATTTGAAAAAGTTAACATTATTAATGTATCATTTGATCTTACAAATTTTGTGTCCTAATTAAAAAATTAAGAAATTTTCTACTCTTCTTATTATAATATTTTTAACAGTATATTTTTATCATTAAATTTCATTGTCTCAATAAATTATCAGTTAACAACTTATCTGTGATAGGGTATGGCCAGTAAATTTTTATCATAAAGAAGCTAAAATAATCAATGTTCGCATCAGTACGATGTTAAAATTATCAGTTGAAGGATAAGACTTTTACATCACACCTTATTTTAGGTAGTGCTTTTTTTTTTCCTTACATGATTAAATTATCTATGCTTATAAAAAAAAAAAGATTGTAATAAATTGACTTAGTCATTTAAACGACAGCAGGTATAAGAGAAATGATATATGAGATTGTCTAGGCCTATTAAAATAACAAACAAATTTGTCATCGTCTAAAGACTTTTACATCACACCTTATTTTAGGTAGTGCTTTTTTTTTCCATGAACTTGAGAAACGAAAATAAATGAATTTGAGAACGAAAATATATTTGATTGAATGTTTTCTCGAGAATGAATCAAATAATTAATTAAATACTCTCTGTGATCATTTGATCAAAATATAAAAAGTACTAACTTTGGCCATAACATATCCGGTGGTTGAAGATGATTATTAGCTGGATAATGTAAATGTTGATAATCGAATTGATCAAGTGGTGAACAACGTTCATGTTGTTTCGATGATTTGTATGGATGATAATGCGTGGTACCAGGCGTACGAGCACGTATATGATGTGATATATTCATTTGAGGTGAACCAGGCCAATATGGCCAATTACAAACATCCGGTTGTTGTTGTACCATTTCATGTACATTTGGCAATGAACCACTCGATCGATTCCAATGTATCGGTGGTGCAAGAGCCTGAGTACTGGAACATACTGGTGGACAAGCGGTACAATTACTCGTAATTGCACGTACATCACGCATAACAGAGGTAAATACTTCCTGATCCTCATTTTGCTTCCTCTCCATTATTGCAATTTTTTCCGCAAATTTACGTGGTGTTCCCTGGGCCATTGAGTTATTTTGGCACGACAATAGTGAAGAATATAAATTATTGATCGATACAGTATCAAACAATGATTGATAACAATGATAATAGTCAATAATACTAATAGTAATAATGGTGATAATAATAATAATGGTAATAACAGCAAATAAATAATAGTAATAGTAATAACAGTAATAGTAGCAGTAATAATGCCAAATTTTATGCAACTAAAAAGATTATTAAAAATAATATTAAAATTAAAAAAGTGAAAAAGTTATTACAACATGCGGTAATGTTATTGTTTTAATTTTCTCTCCCATTTTTTTTTTCCTTTTTTTTTATTACCGTTTTTTTCACGTTATGAATATATTTACGGCACGTATGGATATGAAAAAAACTTACGTTTACACATAATTATGTTAAATGAGAAAAAGAAGAGGAATGAATATGGGTGGCAAATTTTTCTGAAATAATATCAATAATCCACAAAAATGATAACTATTTTTAGTTTGGTAGTGATAGTGATGTGGTATGTGATGGCGAAGGTAATAATGGTGGCGGTAGTGGTGGTGATAGTAACGGTGGTGACAGTGATGGTGGTGGTGGTGGTGATAATAATAGCGGTAGTGTAGTGTGGTGATAGTGGTGTGGTGGTAGTGATGGTATGGTGGTAGTGGTGCGGTAGTGATGTGGCGGTGGTGTGGTGATAGTGGTGGTGTGGTGATAGTGGTGGTG